CAGTGCTTTACAGCCCTCTCTAAACGATTTACAGAGACAGCATATTGCCCCCAACAATCTGGGTCCTCATTTTATCGACTTCAGGATGGAAGGCTTAGTCAATCTTGAGCTGGCGAGATTCAAACTGCTAAACTGCCCGCAAAAGTAGCCTGCAGTACTGCATTCTAACCATTGTGCCACCATAGCTCCTAGTTATATATAACTCCTATATAGTAGTTACATATATACTATTATTTAATACTTCCTCCTTGGACTTTTCTTTTCTCTTAAGAAATATTGGGTTTATATAATTGTACTACGGCACTCACAAAGTTCCCCAGAAACTGCATTTTGGGAAGTAGTGGAAGTTAGTCACACAGCATAAATAAAGCATTGCAAATGTGATCTAGCTGAGTTTTCGCTTCTGCCTAGACAATTCAGCAATTGTTATTTAGAGAAATAGTTGTCAAGAAAGGAAAACGGGGAGATCAGGAGAGTCAACTGTGTGATGAAGGGATATGTAGGCTTCAGGACAAACTTAACTTTAACTTCCACCACTCGGAACAGCAACGATTCAGTTAAATTCCTCCTCCCACTGTGGCCACGGGGAGAGGTTATGAAAATCCCAGTCTAACATCTGGAGGAACACAAATAATAGAACTGGCATGTCTGAAGAATTTTTTAGAAACAGCGCAATAGATTCCCTGGTTCTTGTTCAATTATTTTAATAATGTAAGGATTATTCCTATTTTTTTCTTATTGATTTCATATTTAATTTAAAATACCCTATTTTCTAATCCCTTCTAAGTGGGTAGTGAAAATTGTTAAAAACAGAACAACCACAGGAAGTTTTAACTTCCCATCCCACCCTCCCAGGCTGCAAGAGCTGTGCTGGCGCAGTGGTTAGAGTGCATTACTGCAGGCTACGTCTGCTGACTGCTAGCTGCAGTTCAGCAGTTCAAATCCCATCAGGCTCAAGGTTGACTCAGCCTACCATCCTTCGGAGGTGGGTAAAATGAGAACCCAGATTGTTGGGTGCAATATGCTGACTCTGTAAACCGCTTAGAGATGGCTGTAAAAGCACTATGAAGCGGTATAGAAGTGCTAAAAGAAACAGGGAGGTTGACCTAGGGTTGGTCTAGAAGACCTCCAAGGTCCCTTCCTGTTCTGTTCGATTGAATCTTCTGATTGTTTGAAACAAGAGTACTATGAAGGAAAGTCCCATTTCACTACTGGATGCACTTTAAAATTGTTCTCTTTCCAAAACATTACAGCCTGAAAAATGTATCTTTTAAAGAAAAATTACAACCAAAGGTATAATTCCCAGCTGCCTCCAGTGCAGTGACAGATGGATCAATTAGGTTCAGACAATAATGGCTTTCATTCAACAAACTTGTTTTCGCTGGAAAATGTATGAAGATAAGCAGAAGTGGACTTTCATACAGCCTCTTAAATGAGAGCACAACCCTTTATTTGGCTGATATGGGATAAAAAATGCAGGAACCAAAGCAAATAATCAAGGCTCATCCATTATGCAAATGCATGCCTGTGTCATGTTCTCCTCTTTTTTTAAAAGGTATAAATATCAGTGCTTGTTTTCTGCGTGTGTCTGTGTATGTTACTATGAGAGAAGGCAAACCCTAACAGTATATACTGAATAATAAACACCAAAGGGAGCCTGGGTTATTTGCTTTGGGTCTTGTTTTTCTTTAATTCCACATCAATCAAATAAAGGGAGGTGTTACCTGTATTTCATTTCATAGAGAGAACTATGGAAAGTGACCACAAACTTGATTGAAGTAATAATCCTTTTTTTTCCCCTTCTGAAAGTCAATCTTCTTGTTCCTCTAGTTTTACAGCTCTCCCGCATAACAAGGTTTTCATTACTCTCTACATCAATTCATGCAAACGAACAACAAGTAACTTGAGCCTATATTGTTAACCACACATCTAAGTTGTCAAACACATCCTGGAATTCACCAGATCAATTTCTATTACCAAGCACAAAAGCTGCATCGACAGTATTTGTGCTGCAAGACCCTGCATGTTGCAGCCGGTCTTTCAGATTCGACTGAAGTTAAACTGCAAGCAAAAACGTAATTTACCACATTTTAGCCTCCAGCGTTGGGCAAGTGCAGGCTACATTGGTTAGCCTCTGAACTAGTGAAAATCCTGGATCTTGGGTTATTTCAGTAACCTCTGGTTCAGTTAAGCAGGAATAAAAGTGCTGCGTTTGCACCCAACCTCTCTGCCACTGGCAAAGTCTCAAAACAATCTTTCAAATCATAACAGGAATTTGGACAGGGAGCAGTCCACTTCAGAGCATTTGGCTTCAGCAGAGTAATAACCCTTCAGTGTTTAGAAAGCAAAGGCTAAAGAAAGACATGTTTGCTGACCAAAGGTTAGGCAGGTTGTCCAGTGTTGAAAAGTGAACCTAAGGCAAAAACAAGGAATACCTGTTTTGATCCCTGGAGGAATAAGGTGTACGCACCTTTTGTTCATAAGGGTACTACTTCTCTCCAAACAAGAAATGCATCATTCTTGTGTTGGCCACCAAGGTAACAAGCATCACACAATACCTTGAATTTCTTCCCAGTGTCTTGGAGCCAAATATATATTGCAGTTTTATTTAATCTGCTCAGTGACTCAGGTAAGTAGGTAGATAGGTAGTTGTGATCTACTAGAAGTTTGTGGTCGAGACAGATGGGATAATTTGGCAACATTGGGTGATTAATGTGCTAGTTTTACCTGGGTTTGAAAGAGTCAGCTTTCTTCTTTTTAAAAGGCATTATGTAAAACTGGTTTTTAGCAGGATAAAAGTGCCATTTCCTGCTCCCAATTCTTCAGCATTTGTGACTGCAATGGCCCCTGAATGCCAAGGGGAAAAAAGGGGGGGCTGAGGCTTCAAGCTGCATTCCCCCCTCCCCATTTGCTCCTCAGAGGCCTGAAATAAGAGATCCCTCTTTTTTTTTTAATCTCAGCACTGATAGGTGATTCTACCCACTGGGTGTGGGCAAAACGCCCTTTATACTTGAGCATCCAGAGTACCACGTTCTCCTGCCTTCTTCAACAAGCCAGGATCCAGAAAAACAAAAGCAATGTGTGAATCCAGCCTATGGTTTAGAAAACCACTGAGAAAAGCATGGAAGTAGGCAGGATGGGCAACTCCCTTGCTCTTCCTGCTCAGCTGGTTGCAGGAAATGTGTTTGAATTGTGGAAATGTGTGAAAGGAAAAAGTCAAATGCAACCTTAGCCCTCTTCCCCTTGCCTAAACAACAGAATTGGCTTGCATGCAAGGCTGTTATTCATCTGTATTGTTCTTCTGGAAATAGTCCCACAAGAGTTAAATAGCAAATTTTTAAACCATTTTTTTTTCCTTTTAAACTTTTCCATGCAGTAATATTAATATATATTAAAAAAAGCTCACTTTCTGCTTAGGTTAGTGATTTTTTTTATTTTTCAAAGTGGAGAAGTTGAAACACTCAACATTCCCCCATAGAAACCCAGAATTATGCAAGATAATTTAGTCCAGCAATAAGACATGTGCAATACAACACATTTTGAAAGCACAAGTTGAGTGAATATTGCAAGACGAGACTGGAACTGCTTCAGGGAAATTCAGTTAGGACGTTAAAAGTTACAGTTAAAAAGAAAGAAGAAATTAACTGTATTCTGCCTACTGCAGAAATAGAAATCTTATCTCGTTGGAATGCCCAATGGGTAGATATCATTCTCCCAGCTTTTGTTTCTTGTTTTTGAAAAGAAAACCCACTAAGAAAACAAACCAAACCCACAGAGATTGCTGACTAGGCACCATACCAGCATTTTTCAAACTTGTTTCTCAAAACTTTCCCAACACGCTTGCTGGGGAATTCTGGGAGTTGGGGGTAGCCAAGTGTAGGGAACGCAACCCAGCCCAACACAAACTCAAATGGTTCTGGTAAAGGGTTCAAATCTCACAACAGAGGCTGCTAATGTATGGCAGAAAACCCCGGAAGGCTCTCAGACAAAGGGAGCCCGCTTTTAAAACGGAGGTAAACAAAGGCCGATCGTTTTGCAACCTTTGGTGAAGTTTTTCACCCTCTCACGGGTTGGGGGGAAGAAATAGCTCCCTGTTCTTGTTTTAAACATGAATAGTTCTGAATCACATTTTTAAGCCGTTCTTTAATGCACGGTTAATTTAAACACAGGCTAGGAGGCAGCAGGCGCGGTATATTTATTTGGAGTATAGGACTTGCAGGCGCTGCACGTCTCTTTGCAAGTAAGTACAGTAAACCCCAGACAGCAAACCTTTCTTGGTTAGCTCAGTCCCGCTAAAACCAAGACCATCTCCCGCCATTAACTTGTCTCCCCCTTCCTCTACAAAAAAAAGAGCAACCTACAAAGGATTTCCGCCTGCTTGCACCGCAGCCATGAACGTTTCTTGCCAATTTAATCCCCCTGGGTTTTTATGGGGCTTACTGTAGGGTAAGCAAGCTTGATCATTTTGGATAAGGAATGAAAGGGGCGATTGGCGGATTCAGTGGGCCCCGAAGCAATTTTTGTATTTGGCTAAAACAAAAGCACCGGGGGATTGGGGAGGGAGGGAGAGAGCGGCTAATCGGTGGGGCAAATAGGCCTCATTGGAGAGAAGAGCCAGAAAGTTGGAGAACTCGGGATAAGAAAAAGTAGCCAAGAATTTTTTTTTAAAAAAAGTATTCGCGATGCATTTCAGCGAGTGATCCTTAGCAACGCGGGCTTTGTTTGAGTAGCCGATCCGGGCCAGGTTGGCCAAGGGGCCTAAATTGCAAAGGGACAGATGGGTGGGTGGGTGGGTGAAGAGATCGGGGCCGTGCGTTTTACAGCAAATCCGATGGGAGTTGCAAAGGACGTGTTGCAAATCCGATGCAGTTGCAAACGTAAAATGGGAAGGGGAGACGGGGATTGAAGAATCCCCCCCCCTTTTTTTTGCAAGAAGTAAAACCTCCCCTTCTCTCTCCCACCTCGCCCCGCCAGACGAAACCCACGAACGTCGCACCGACCTGTTGCAGCTCGTTGGTGAAATAAAGGAAAGTGATCGCCACGCAGATGGATTGCAAGAGCACGGCGAAAATCAGGATGAGCCCGCAGGTCTGGCCCGTGCTGGGCCCGCCTGATGCCACCATGGTGGTCGCTGGCGGATGCACACACACAAAAAATGGAGGGTTTCGCACAAGCGGACGAGCGGTGGGAGATTCTGTCCTTGTCTGGAGAGAGGCCTGCCGGACTCGGATTGGGGTGGTTAAGGTGGAGCCACGTCCGGCCTCTTTCAAAGCCCGCTTTGCTCCTCCTCCTTTTCCTCTTGTTCAAGAGTCGCCTTGGCAGTTTTGAGAAGTTTCTGGGAAGTTGGAAAAAGATCCCGGGATGCAGAGAAAGAGAAAGAGAAGGAAGAGAAAAAAGGAAAGAAAGAGAAAGAAAAAAGGGCCGGCAAGCAGGGAGCAGGGAAGGAA